CTACCCCGCCTCGTTTCAGCCTCACTTTACACGTCAATCCGCCACCCATTGTCGATCCCGGAATGCAAGATGCAGGGTGATGCAGGGAGTGATCCAGTTTATTGATTGGCTCAATTTCGAGATCATCCTTTCTTGGCACCTTTGGGGAATCTGTTGTGATAAGAATCGACTCGTCGAAGGCTGAACAAAGGTGGCAGTGCTGCTCATAGTGCATACTTGTCGGCAAGACGCTGCAACACGGAACTGGAGGAGGGATATTGAGATGCAAGAACGAAGTCATGATGTTCATAAAATAATGTTCGATGCTAAGATATCATTGCTTGCTATTGGCAGTCGCGCGACGCTAAAGCGGCGCTCACCCTAAACACACCCGGGCGGCATCCACCCGACTATTGTCCGCACATAAGCCACACGCCGGCAGGTTAGTAGTATGGTGGGTGACCACATGCGAATCCGTGCTGTTGTATGTCCATGTTCACCCGTTTGTCTTTTTATTTGTTGGGTTTAGTGCCCTTGCCGCCCTACCTTCAGCCCTTCATCTGAACGCCCTGAAGCCCCTGAACAGATGACGTAGCCCCTCGGCTAAACCTGCCGTGCCTCATGCGGTTGCAACACCACCTCAACCCCATTGATTCCTGGAACCTTAAGTGTGGTTCCTGGTACCCCAGCTTGTCCTTCTGGGAGTAATTCAATGGCTCAGATTTGTGCGCAAGTCTTGTGAAGGCATCCTGTGAAGTCTCTACTCGGCCCTCGGAGGCAGGAAATTGAGTCTAGGAGCCAAAAGCAAGACCCCAGGAGTGCAACAGCTCCCAGATCCAGCCGATGCGTTCCCAGAGCCACCGCGCATTTACTTAGGAACTGGACCGAAGACCCCAGGGATAATTTCAGTTCTCCGGGAATATGAAAAGCCTAAGGAGCTATGCTGGAGTTTTCAGGGGATACAAAGCCCAAGGATTGGTTTCGAGGTTTCCAGGTTCCAGGTGTCAAATCAAGCAAGGAGCCACTCAGCCACCCCAGCAATCGAAGGCGGTGAACAGCTCGTCAGGTTCGGAAGGCAAAGCCCGTATCTCGCCACCCCTAGCTATTCCAAAATTATCGCTAGATAACACTCAAGTCGCCGTACAGTCCAACGGCAAACTCTTCCTTTAGTTTGCTTTTTCATGTGGAACCGATTCTTAGTGAAGTAAGACAGGTTGACTTCGTCATTACGCACCGAATGGACCCTGCGCCAAAGCCTACCTACCGAGACAGATTGTTCAAATCAACGACTCAAATTCTGGAAATCGCGAAATGTTTAGGCTCTAATGAGATGATTGATACTGGCTCTCTTGAGGATGGGATTCTCGCGCTACATGACACGTTGCTGCTTTCTCGGCGCGAAGATGTTTCGCTGCTTACCCCATTTTATTTGGTCTGCCTCGAAGTCTGCCAAACTTTCGTCAATTTAATCACACCTGATATGAACGTGTCAGAACTCAAAAATATTTCAGTCAGTGGGTACAATTCGTGTCAATTGACTCCAGTACTTTTGACTCTGTTCCATGCGCTCAGCACTTTTGTCAATTTCATATGCTGGTAGGTAAAGACAGTCAACTTTGAAGGATTGCCTGACCACTCAATTAGTGTACCAAGCAAGGTCGGTGAAGCCACCAAGGAGCGATGCTTGAGCTGCGTCGCTCGCGCGGTCCGCGATCTTTATAAACATAAAGCGCATCTCGAAACTCTCGGTGACTCTGAGTCTGTTTTACTACAACGCTATATTACGGTCTATTGCCTGATGATGTTCTTTGATTGTCTATGCGCAGTTAGTGTCGATACATACGGTGAAAGTCTCTGTGATTGCGTTCGGCATGGAAGCAATCGGACTTCATCGAGACTCGATGATATTGTTGGTATAAGGATTGGAAAAGATGCTTTGGAACACTTCGCCAACCTTGGTGAGCCATTGTTGGAAGAGATTTCTTGGAGGCAGGGTTTGAGGGATGATCCGATATTGCAAGCCCTTTCGGATAGATATGAGGATTTGGAAAGGCGTTTCTTGGCCGCTATGAAACACCCAGGACATGATAAAGTACTAGTATCACGCGAAATAATCACGAGAGGATACCGACTAGAGTTCAGTGTGATGACTAGTACGGCATTGAAACACTGGGGGCACTGAACAAAATGCACGTAATAAACGAGATTTCTTGTGTGAAGTACGAAATGAGAAGCTTTCGTCGAATACAGGTTAAGCGACTCAGCAGCTCTTGGGTCGATCTATGTGAGGGTCTCACGTATACGCAGAGGTTGATAGTGTCTCGAGATGAACAATCAATATGAAGAACAACTATAGTTGACTCTAGATACAAGACGAGCGCGAGGAAGCAAAAGAGACAGGCTTCCTCGTGATCATGGGAACCCATATGCACCAAGTGGGTCCCGCAGATCATATCTCCATACTCATTCGATCACTCCCAGAAGGCTTAGCCATAGCCCCAGGAACCGCAATTGAGGTTCCAGGAGTTAGCAAAGCTGTTGTGATGGTCTCACGTATCCGTAGATTAGGACAGCGTATTCAGATGAGTAGTCAATATTAAAGAAAGCTATAGTCAACTCTAGACAAAAGACGTAGCGCGAGGAAGCAAAAGAAAGGTAGCTTCCTCGCGTTCAGGGGAACCCATATACACCATGTGGGTCCCGCGCAGATCATATCTCCATCCGTTCTGTATCCGTTCTGTATGCTTCATGTATATCCTTGACAGCTGTCCACAGGAACATGGCTTTGGTTCCTCGAGGTGGAGGTACAAGACCCCAGAAGTTACGTCAGGTTTCCTGGGGCTATTTGACTCCTAGAAGTTTTTTCTGCGCTCCCAGAAACCACACCAAAGCCTCTGGGAGCAAGAGAACTTCTAGGGCCGAGATGTGCGTTCCCAGGGCTGATGGAGCTGTCAACAGGAACATTACTCTCAAAAGACACCTTCACCAGACCTGCGCAACAATTAGACTCATTGATCAATCCCAGAAGTTTAGGGTTAGGTTATCCTAGAGTCACGGCCGAGAGATGTCTCATTGGTATGTGGGGTAGTTTGATGTGTCGAAATAACCAGCACTCCCTGGGAACCAATATGTCTATCAGAAATTATGGCAATCCAACTTATTGAAACCAAACACCTTGGAGTATTTCCATAAAATTTGAGCCCAAGACCTCTTCTCCGAAACTCTTAACAAAAATTTCATTTCACATCAAGATGGTGAGTATGCGTTTTCAACATCTTTCCTCCCAGCGTAAAAACGGGTTCTCATATTACAACTGGTTTCAATGGTCAAGACTGGTTTCTTGGCATTATTGTCGGCGCCAGTAACAGCAACATGAAAATGAGTGTCTTGTACTGATGTTGCCCAAGACTTCAAGTCAAACCCGTCGGAAACATTTGTGTCTTCGGTTCTTTTCTCTTGAAAACCGCTTTCGACGCGATTGGAGATGGCAGAGAAGGATTGGCATCCACATCCAGCGCTTGCAGTTTGCTCCGTAATAACCGGTGATAAACTTGTAGTATTAAATTCAGGCAGCTGTTGTATTCATGAGCTCTTTTAGTGATAGACGAAGAAGCATGTGATCCCTAGCTGGAAGAATACTTACTCTTTCCGTCCGCCAGAACTCAAACTGAAAACCATGGCTAGGGGAAGCATGACTCTCTGCAAGCAACCACTTTTCCACTAGACAGTGTGGGTCACAATGTTTGGCCCCGAGCGATTGCTCTGGCACTAAAAGTCCTGCACTCGAAGTCGCCAAAGGGGCTTCTTTGAAAGCGACCTGCTGGGGCTCATTTTTTGTATCAGCGAATCCCCACACCGACCAGTCTGCCAGCTTTAAGAGGTGAGACATACGGCTTTGTAGGCATCGGACGACCAATTGCCTGCTCCGTGTCGCTTTGCAGCAACTGACAGTTTGTGCGAGTATTCCATAATAGAGGTACTCGATTGAGGCATTTGACGTTTCGTAGCGTCAAAGCCCGAAGCCGTTCTTTCCACCGGATAGCCTGAAGAATGGGAAGATTTCCAACGTTTGACAAAATCTTTGCTTTAAGGGTAGGGATTGGAATATCACAAAAAAAAAAAAAAAAGAAACGTTAAGTAATTCAGATAGGAAGTCTCGCTAGTCATTGTAATTCCGAGACATTCCCTTGAACCCTTACACGTACCGGAATGTGATATCCAGATTTTATTTTTTGAGCTACAATTTTATGATCGGATAGGGAATTACCAGGACTGGATAAAATGCGGATCATGCTGCGACCAAAACAAATGGCTCAAATGGCTGTGATTAAAAAAAGAATTGATCAAGGGTAACTGAAATCGAAGAACATATATAATCCTTCCCATTCTTTGAAAGTGATCAGGCCACGTTTCTTCTGTCGCCAATGTATTCCGAAAGCCAGTTTCGTATTCAGTCAGGAACGTAGAGTGAAGATCCCAGGGGTAGATCTCATTTTCCTAGAAATAGAAATAGCCCCAGGAGCTAAAGTGTATTTCCTAGGAGATAGACAGCTCCTAGAAATGCTTTGAGCTTCCCAGAGTCAGTTTAACAAGCACAAGAGTTTGTCAGTCTCTCGCCAGCCCACTTGTTGCGTTTTTCTGTCAACAATCTCCGCCTTATGCGACGCGGCTCCACTGAGATGAATCCGTCTCTCTTTGGTCACCGCTGTAAGGTAAGATGAAAGAAGAAACTTATTATATCAGCACATTTAGCGCTATGTCAGATTCGAATTAAGCGACGCAGCCAGTAGCTTTTGACTAAGGTCTAGTGGTGTCCAGCACTTGCAAAGATGAACGGTCGCCTTGTAATCTGAAGTCTAAACAATCGGGATCTCATTTCTTGCTAAGCTTGCTCCAAAAATCTATATCAACGCTATGGCCACGGTTGCTGATCACCATGCCGAGTGTCTGGTCACGCGTACTTACGTGTGATTGGCGGTCGCTTTTCCTATTTTCCATCTTACCTCGCCTGGAATCTGAGATCACCCACGCTGAGTGGAATTGAGTCGTGCCGACCGGCGAAGCGGTGCAGAGGTGGATGGGCCTCGCGGTAGATGAGCCCCTGCTAGTCTGGCTGAGCGACGGGGCCCACCAGTGGGAGACGATTCACTTGCCGTGGGGACGGTACGTGTCTCGGCGTCCGACGAGGGGATTCGTAACGGGCGAATGAAGGCGTCTAGGGCTCCTTCGTTTCGACTGCGGTCATCAGTATCTTGGTCGTCTCAGACATAAAGTCATGCACACTTACCACACACAGCATGACGTGCCAGACCCTGTATCTCGCTTTTCCAACCATTCTTCCGCGCAGGATAGATGAGAGAGCGATGTGCACTGACGGCAGCGCAAGATCACGCGCTCGTTCGCATGGTCTTCATCGTCGATCAGGCAGAACACACAGTGGATGTTGTCGACGTCTTCGTGGATGCTGTCGACCTCTTCACTCGGGGTGAGACTCTGGAGCGTCAATTCTTGGAAACCAGCCCAGATATTAGCGACCGACGCCAGAATAGCTGGTTGGGCCGGCGAAATGCGCCATGGAACACTGTTCGTCCGCAGCATTGTGGAAGTCACAAATGGATTGAATGACTGCACTGGCTCGGGGTTGGTTGACAGGCGCACCGGCGGGTCTTGTCTGAGCCCGCGAGGTGACGGGTCAGTGTTGTCTGATGCAGGGCGGCGCCTGGAGGCTGACGATGTCTGACGCTGGCCCGGCTGTTCCATGACTGATGGAGAAGCCATTCTGGAGCCATGTGGTACTCGCGCCTGGTTGCGGACGGCGGCTTCATATCACTGATGGCCAACTTGGTCGGCCTGCCGTTGCCGGTGCCATCTCGCGCAGAGGAAGTCTCTAGCGATATCACAAAGCTTCGACTGCAACGTTGACAAGTCAAACGGCTCTCTAGCGAGAGTGGTCAACTTTTGATGGCCGATCTTGGTGTCTTCAACTTTGATCGAGTTCTTGCATGGCTCGCCTTTTTTCGTCATGCCGCAACAGGAGCCAGGACCACTATGAGGGATCCCGCAGACAGAGAATGGGTTCCAAGGCATGGTAGACATTGCGGTGGTCTTCAAAGGCAGAAAATGCTTCGGATTGTTGGTGGTGTTGGGCAATCTCTGCAGCGTCCCCTCGTCAGCTTTATATGCCATCTCCGTAGGCTCTTTCCCTGCATGGCTGCGTGGCTGCTGGCATGCAACGCCTTCCTTGAAACAGTCGATACGTCGAGGAATGCATTCACACGCAGTATGCGCCACTATACGGCCAATCAGTGGCCTGCGAGAAGGGATATCATTCCAGATCACTGCTGCCCAAATCAGCTGCACTTGTGGCTGTAGACCGCGGTGACCATGCATTGGCGAACAGATTGGCTACTGCGGTAGGCAGCATAGTCGACAAACGCTGGGTTAAATTCTGGGTTGCCTATGGAATTTCGAAGTGCGTGATAGGTTGTGATTTATTCTTATGGCGCTAGATGCAAGATGTGGGTACGTAGAGATAGATTCGGTTCCCAGGAGCTGGAAGCCAGAGATTCTCCAACTCCGCCTAAACATTGTTGTCAAGGCTTTGATGCTGCCGTGGGATTGCTACGCACCTCTCAGCGGAGTGACAGACTACACTCCTAGCTGACCACGGAATTTGGCTGAGGTGAGTATATAAAGGCCTCCCATATCCTACTTTCACAACTCTCACCTCACCCCTATCTACATTTCGTTTGCTCCATCCGCTGTCCAATCATGGTCTGTTTCAATTCGTTCTTACTGAGTTTACCGATGAGCTAATACATTACAGCCAAACATCAGAGAGCTTCCCAACGAGCTTTTGCTGTGGATTGTGTCGTATTTGGACGGTACTGCATTATTTGCCCCCGCAAAATCATGCAAAAACTTTGATTTTAAACTGTAGCCCAGCATCTGGAAATACAACATCAAATTTCAGAACAGCAATCTGTTGCACTTGGCCGTCAAATACGACAACGTTGGTCTTGCGGAGGCTTTGCTCCAGCACAACGCCAACATCAATGCATTTTACCGAGGCAAAACTCTTTAATGAGGGCGCTCAAATACTCTTCCGCTGCTGTGCAGGACCTCTTGCTCAGTCGTGGAGACCTAGACATCAACATTCAAAATCAAGCGCGGGAGAGCGCCCTGTGGTATGCCGTCCGCTACGGAAACCTTTCCGCCGTCAAGACCGTTCTAGAACAACCCAATGTCAGAGTGGACGTCAAGCACAAACACGGCTGAACGGCGCTCCACCTAGCAGTCTTCGCGGGTAGAATAGGGTTCGTGCATCTGCTACTTTCTAGTGGCAGCGACCCTGATCTACAGGATGATTCAGGCCGCTCGCCATGGGACTGTGCACGTCGCTTTAATAGGCCCGTGATGGAAATGATTTTTTCAAACGATCCGATGGCTAAGGTATTTCTTGGTACTCAATCATCGCAGGATGCTGAGCTACCTCTTCACCAAGCGGTATCCTATGGGTCGGTAGATGCTGTCAAACGGCTTCTCGGACAAAAGGGCCTGAGTTTGGACATCTAGAACCGGAATGGCTATACGCCGCTCCATCTCGCCATTCAAAACAAACGCTTGGAAATGGTCAATTTGCTCCTAAGTCACCCACGTGCCAACGTGAACTGCAAAGACAAAGATGGCAATACGCCACTGTGGCTGTCTACTTACTCGTCATGCGACGGGATAGCCGAAAGGCTGTTGGCCGAGAAAGACATCAACGTTAATTTTGTTGGAGGTTGCGGAAGATTCGAGACGCCCTCTACATCTCTACACCACGCCGCGTCCAGGTTGGATACCGTGCTCCTACGACGGCTGCTTGCGGTGCCAGGGATCAGTCTGAATCTCTGTGTTGGAGGCCACTCTACAATCTCCCTGGCCGCATATCACGGACGCGTGAACACGGTTGCTTGTCTACTGAGTATGGAGGGCGTGGAGATCAATGGAAGGGATGTAATAGATCCGCCTATTTGTCGAGCGGTTGCACATGGCCATCTCGATGTGGTAAGGCTCTTAGTGCAGCAAGGCGCACGTCTGAACATCAATGAAAGCACGATCGCAACTCACGACACTGCTCTCTGCATTGCCGCCGCTGGTGGTGACTTGGAGATGGTCCAGGCACTACTAAGCCATGATCGGATTGATGTGAACATCAGGAATCAATGTTCTGAGGATCCATTGATGTTGGCGGTCAAGGGCGGGCATTCCTCGATTGTTGATGCACTTTTGGTCAATCCCAGACTGAAACACTTCAGTTTGACAAAATCCCTGAATCTAACAAGGAACGATTGCATCCAGAGGGCCATTCGAAGCAGAATGGAAGACGCCAACACTCCGCAAAAGATTGCTGAAGCGGTCTCCGAGGAGAAGGTTTGGTGGTCTGTAAGAGCTGGCCACATCTACTTCGGGTAGCTGTCGTGATACAATGCGGGACGGCCGAGTTAATCGACGCTTTCTCCGCTAGCTACACTGCCCACATTGTCACTGGATCAATACTTTTTTAGTTTATAATGTACTTGGTTAATAAAAGTGACACTAGAACATGCGGGATTGTTCGCAGAACATTCCACAAAGGCTATGCTATTCCAGATGTAAGCTGCTTTCCATGCGGTAATTCTCTCTCAATTACAATGTTGTGATATTATTGCCAAGTTGGAAAAGTAATCGTGAATATGCAACCCTTCACCCTTCTCTTGCGTTGTCCAAGAATCCTGGTACATGTAGATTGAGTCTGGACGGGTGGTTCCAATCGTCAAGTACGCAAGTCAGTCGACCCCGAGATGATTCCAGTGCCTGCTCAAAGAAGCGCAGCCGAGACAGCTGCTTGTCGCGGCGCAGTTGAAGTCCGTCCCTCTCTTGAGTCAGGTATGTGCTAGCTTCCTTCAATATATGATTGCTCTGCTCTAGCTTCTGGCCCTCGATGTGTTTGGACACGCACGACTCCCATAGGCGTCGATAGAGTCCGACAAGTCGAGCCGCGGGAAAGGCGAACTTGGGATCGTCGCGTTCGAGGTCTGCTAGCACCTTCAAAATAGGTTGAAAGGGCTCTGTCGCCAAGGCATATCTTGTTTCTGCTTCCTGTTGCGAGGGAGAGAGCTGCGATGGTCAGCAAGAGCATTGGAAGCTGAGCCGCTTTACTTACCTGTGGTGGGACATAATCAGAAGCCTCCTGCGAATTCTCTTTTTCAGAAACGATTGGCAATGCACTGGGCTGCTGTTCTCCTTCTTTTTCCTGGTCTGGCGTGCTGTTAGGGGCATCCATCTTGATCGCAGGGGAAAGTCGAGTATCTGGGCAATAGCATGTCCACCAATTCTTGGAGGCTTTTATAGACTAGCAGACATAGGTGGCTAGGTACTCAGTCTCATTTTTACCATGAGGGTCAATCAGCGTAGTCGGCTTTTCGATCTCAGCACTCTCTTAGCAGTCCGTTTAATGATGGTGCTGGTGATTTACTCTGGTGGTGTTGATGGTTGGTGAATGTGCCTCATATTAGTGGCTTACTGGTGATGAACGGTCCAGGAGATATATATTCAATCACAACGCATTTTCCACATTTGTTGGAGAGCTCGGAAATCCAAAAGTAAATAGACTAAAATTCAGAGGATTGAAAAAGAGACTCAAAGAACAACGTATTTCAACACCGGTCATA